GAGAGAGATTTCTTGCCATAGGGTGTGTGCGCTCGCCAGAGAGAGACAGAGAGACACAAAGCGAGAAATCACCCCCCAGAGGGGATGGCCATGTCGCAATCCCTTCTCCTCCATTCTCCTCTTGGGATCTTGGGCACACGGGCACATGCGCCCGGCATGAGTTTAAGTCACCAGGTCTGGGATTCAAACCGTGGTCGACTACGTGGGAGTCCAGCGACATAGCCATTACACTAACTGCTGGTCCCCCCAGCCAGTCATGAAATCTTAAAACTTCCCTATGAAGAACATTCCCAAGGAGCACAATGTTTTTTTTGTTTTTGTTTTTGTTTTGTTTTTTTTTGAGAGATTTTTGCTATAGCATGCATGTGCTCACTAGAGAGACAGAGAGACAGAAAGTGAGAAATCACCCCCCAAGGGTGCTGGGGGTCCATGCTGCAATCCCTTCTCCATTCTCTTGGGATCTTGGGCACACGCGCAGGTGCTTGGCATGAGCTTTAAACCACCTGGTCTAAGATTCGAACCGCAGTCGACCACGTGGGAGTCTAACGACTAAAGTAACCATTACGCCATCTACTGGTCCCCAGGGAGCACAACTTCATAATCTGCTGCCTCAGAGTTACCTGTATCCATAGATAAGCAGGGTCATCTGGGTAACTCCAAGTAGTTAGCCTGGCAGGAGTCGGGCGTGGCCAGGTGGAGGAGGTCAGAGGAATGGGTAAGAGGGCTCTGGGCTGCCATCGAACGCCGCCCACTCTGTCCTGCCCTCAGGACCCGAAGCTGGCCCTGTTCACCAAGGTGGGCCTGTCGCTGTCGCTCATCTGCCTGTTGCTGTGTATTCTCACCTTCCTGCTGGTGCGGCCCATCCAGAGCTCGCGCACCACCGTGCACCTGCACCTCTGCATCTGCCTCTTCGTGGGCTCCGCCGTCTTCCTGGCCGGCATCGAGAACGAAGGCGGCGAGGTACGGCCTCACCCTGCTCGCACCTGAGCTCTAGGTCGGGGATGCCCGAGAGTGGGGGCGCCCCGCTCGCTCCCGGGACTACCTCGGAGAGGCGGCGCCTGAAGTGCGACCCCGCCCACCACGGTGGGGCGCCTCTTTATTGGCCACGCTCCAGCCTGATCCCGCCCCCACTGGTGTTGTCAGGAGCGGGCCCCGCCCACTCGAGAGCTCCGACCGGGACTGGCTCCCGCGGCGCGTGGGGCCCGTATTGACTCCGCCCCGCCCCTCCGTGCCCCGGCAGGTGGGGCTGCGCTGCCGCCTGGTGGCCGGGCTGCTGCACTACTGCTTCCTGGCCGCCTTCTGCTGGATGAGCCTCGAGGGCTTGGAGCTCTACTTCCTCGTGGTGCGCGTGTTCCGCGGCCAGGGTCTGCGCACGCGCTGGCTCTGCCTGATCGGCTACGGCGTGCCCTTGTTCATCGTGGCCGTCTCGGTGGCCGTCAAAAGCCAGTGTTATGGCCACGAGCTCTAGTGAGTGCAGCGTGCTGGGGGACAGGGGAGGGCCGGGCCTGGGGGCAGCCAGATAGCTCCCGTACAGGGCCCGCTCCCTTTCCCGGGGCGCTGACGGGACCCCTGTCTTCTGTCCCAGCTGCTGGTTGAGGCGGGACGGTGGCTTCCTCTGGAGCTTCCTGGGCCCTGTGACCGTCATCGTGCTGGTAACTGCCCAGCCCGCGCGGCGCGGCCCCTCCCTGAGCCCCGCTGCTATCTCCCCGGGCCCCCGCCCCTAACCCGTGGTCTGTGCCCACCCCCGCCCAGTGCAACTCCGTCATCTTCGTGACTACCGTCTGGAAGCTCACGCAGAAGTTTTCTGAAATCAACCCGGACATGAAGAAATTAAAGAAGGCCAGGTGAGAGGTGGGACGGCAGGGGCTGCGGCGAGAGGAGCCAGGGGGCCCCTGGGAGGCGGGCCACACGGTTACTGGCCTC